GTCAATCCAAGTTACGTGATTCAAAACAGCTGTCTTAGTTAGGGTTTCTATTGCTGTGAAGAGACACCATGACCACAACAACTCTCACAAAGGAAAACATTTAACTGAGGTGGCAGCTAACAGCTTCGGAGGTTTGGTCCGTTATCACCATGGTGGGATATGGCAGTGTGCGAGCAAACATGTCGCCGGAGAGGTAGCTGAGAGTTCTACATCTTGGGCAAGCATCACAACAAGTGGTCTGAGAAGCTGAGTAGAATCCTCAGAAGATAAGAGGTCTCAAAACCCGCGGCCACAGTGACACACTTTCTCCAACAAGACCACACCTACTCCAACAAGGTCACAGCTCCTAATAGGGCCACTCCCTTTCCCTTTCAAACCACCATAATAAATAAATAAATAAATAAATAAATAAATAAATAAATAAATAAAAAAAAATAAAGGCTGCAGAAATAGCTCAGTGGGTAAAAGCACTGGCTACTCTTCTAGAAGACTTGAATTTGAATCCCAGCACCCAATTGGAAGTTAAGAGCCATCTCCAATTTCAACTCCAGTTCTAGGGGATCTGATGCTCACTTTCAGTTTCTTGAAGACATGGTGCAGACGTAGAAGCAGGCAAAACACCCATACATATAATTGTTTTCAACTTTAAAAATAAATAAACAGCTAAAAGATGGTTGCGGATATAACTCAGTCATGAAGAACCAGGCTACCATGCATGAGGCCTGAGGTTTAATCTCCCGTATAACAAGACAAATGCAGACAACAACAGCGACAAGACCCCTATTTCTTTGGAACAAGATCAAAGAATGCCTAAGACTTTCTTCTTGACCAGACTTCACTTCCTGTATCCATGATGTTTCTATTGTGATGTGACAAAACACCGGATTCAGGCCACTTAAGGAAAGACGGTTTTATTTGGGGTCACAGTTCCAGAGTACAGTCCATCAAGGTGAGGAAGTCACGGCGGGAGCCTGAGGCAACTGGTCACATTACAGCTGCAGTCAGGAAGCAGCGAAGAATTCAGGTGCTCAGATCCCTTTCTTCTCATTCAGTCTAGGACCCTGGCCTAGGGTCTGGTGCTGTCCACACTGAGAGTAGGTCCTCCCACTTCTCTTACCCTGATTTACAGACTCTCACAAAGATGTGTGTCTCCTACGTGGTTCGAGACTCTGTCAAGTTGACAATCAATGTAACTGTCATACAGGATTAAAGACAACAAAGACTAGCAGGCTGGCATTTATCCCGGCAAAAGGGGACTAAGAGGAAGGCTAGGAAGGTGGCTGCAGAGTCCAGTCAGGAGGGAGCCGCAGTCTGGCTTAGGGCAGATTTCCAAGACAGACCTGCCAGGACCTGCCAACAGTTACCCTAAGTCTCCCCATCCTAGAGACTTCAGCTTCTGGACTTCAGCATGGCCACTCTTTCCATTCAGACAGGGAAGCTAAGACCTGAACAGCATTCCCTGAGCTCAGCACTGACCCTATCAACTGGAAACCGCCCCAGTTTCTGGCCTCCAGGAGAGAACTTTGGTCCGTTTCTCTTTGTTGGGATGAACTGATCTTCCTCTTTCTGCAACAGCTCCCCATTTCCAGGAATTTACTGTTTTCCTTGCTGCTATTTGGGACTGAGGAATTCAATAGTTCTGGCTTCTGAGATTGACCTATATGTCAGCTGACACCCCAGATGACACCTTATCCTCATTTTGCCCTTCCATTTGTCAGCCCAGGGTGGTCATTCCAACCCAGGCTCTAAAAATGGCACCTTGACCCATTTCTGTTCCAAGCTACCTCTCAGTATGATCAGCCCCAATTTTCCTCTTAGAGTTTAGATTCATCAGAGGTGCTGAAGATTTACAGGGTTCCCTTGTCACCCCCTGCTTCCTGTTGGCAGAGTTGTTCATGGCACAAAGTTCTTTGAACACTTGACAATGTGGCCAAATAAGGCATGTTTCATACTCTTTTCTTCTTCTTCTTTTTTTTTTAACCAACATTTGAAAGGCAAATGACTTCCCAGGACCACTGTGAACTTGGGAGTCTGGAGCTGAGTTTATGACCTGCTCACCACTGAATTCTCATACTAATCATTTTAGTGATGTGTGCCCAGCTAAGCAAGTTCCTGGTAGGAGCCCTCATCAAAGTCGGATCAGTCTTTCCAAGAGCCTCGAGAAGGCACAATGTCAGAAGGCACAGCCAGACGGAACAGCTGTCACATGGATGCTGACTTGGTTGTGGGCATCATGGGGGGGGGGGTGGCTGGATCAGGATTAGAGCATTGTGCATGTATTTATTCTTGTCTTTCCATCTCAGAGAATCTACTTTCTTGCATCTCAAGAAAGAAGGTTTGAAGTTCTGTCTTTCTAGATGGTGTACTATTTATCTTACTGGGTGATCCATTTCTTTGACCAGCCGGAGATCTTTCTAGCTCATTGGGAGTTTGCACGAGGGTCTAGCTATACGTGTCTCTAGCTGGAGGTGTGCATGTCAATTCAGGCAGGTGTCTGTCTGAGGCTTTGTCAAGTTAGAACTCTGTCTGGGGTGTACTTTCCAGTGATGTCGTCTATCTCTAGTCTGTCCAGCTGGTGATTGGTCTGACACTCTGGGGTTTGGTTCATCTGTCTTATTAGGCCAGAAGTCTGTGTAGCTGGCTGTAGGCATGTCCACCACGTGGTAGCCTGTGTATATCTGTCTGTTCTGCTCAAGGCTGACTAACTACAGACTGTGTGAACAATTGTGTTCAGTGTCTTGGACAGGTCTTTCTGCCTCCTCAGGTTCTGTCTAAGATAGATTCTAATTTGTTGAGCTTCCACTTGTATAACTGGAGATGTAGTTGTATACATTTGGGAGGTATGTCGGCTCATCTACAGGGTCAAGTATGTCAGTTGGGGTCCACCTGGCAACCTGGCTAGCTTATGTCTATCTACCTAGCTTGGAATTTGGCTTGCAAATCTTGATGTGGGATCTATCTATCTCTACCTGAAAGTAGTCTGTCACCCAAGGGTCCCTATCTAGATGAAGGCTGGAAGTAGTTCACCAGTCTGCAAGCTGGGATTCTATCAAAGACTATGCCAGGTCAGCCTAGCTGCTCATGATCTAATAGTGGGACGTTCCAGCTCACGCATGCCCAACTAGGGATGTATATCTGCCTGTCTCGCTGGTTGACTCAGCTATCTGTCAGCCATCTGACCAAAAGGAGCAAATTCCATGTGTCCACCCAAACAGGAATTCTATGTCAGAAGGGCTCCGTCTGTCTGGATAGCTGGGAGTTTAGCGGATGACCTGTGATGTCTGTACAGTCCCGTTCTGTCTATGGCTGGTAGGTCAGTCAGTCTGCCCAGTCTAGCTGGGATGTCTTGTACTAGTTCATCAGGAATCTGTTTATGTCTGGGGTTCTGTCTGGCTAGGAGTCCATTTGGCTAGCCAGGCAGAGTGAGGGCCTGATTTGAGGGGACTAGTGATCACTGACTGGGACTGGTCTTAAAGGCTATTGGTTGGTTTATTTCTCTCTGGCTGAAGTCCATCTGTTTTGCCATAGACAACTCCTCTGAAGGTGTGGATATTTAGCGACCTAGCTCTATGTCCAGATTTGGTGAGCTATGTTTTCCTATCTGGAATCTTTTTTCTTTTTCTTTTTTTAATCTGCCTGTCTGGAGTCAGTCCACTTGGCCATAGCTAGGCTTGATCTGGATCTGTCTGAATAGTGAGAGGTCCATCTACCCATCCTCAGGGTCATCTACCTCATCCCCTTGTGGTCACCTGAGTGCCTGGGCAAAGGAAGCCCCGGTACTGAGGATACACCTCTCATTCTGTGGGGAGGGGATGTCTCTGGAAGCTTACCAATAGATTATATCCTCTTGGGTATATGGGGAGGGGGTCGCAACGCCCACTCCTGATGTTCTTTCTTAAATTTCCTCAGGGTAGACCCACCACCAGTGATTTCCCACTTACCTCTCCAAGCCTCGGGCTTTGATTGCTATAAACACTGGGGCAAAGCCCTTATTTTTTCTGCCCTGAGAAAGTTTTATTTTGATGCAGACCCACAAGTCCCATTTCCAACACAGCGCACAGCAGCAAGGCTGCAGAAGTCCAGCCAACTATTGAGCGATAACACTCACACCCGCGTCCACTCCGCTGGAGGATCCCGTGGTCCTTTGGGTCTTCCAATGCGCAAGTTGAAGCCTGAGAGAAGGGAGAGAAGTTGGGGTGTGAAAGGGGAACCTCTCCCCAAACACCCTCGCATGCCCCCAGGCCCTGGTATATGAAGGACAGCCTGAATCCCAAGCTCCAGCCAGAACTGCCAAATTCCTGGGGCTCTCCAAAGCTGCACCGTAGGCTCTGACTTACCTAGACCACCAGTCTGCGCTCCATTTGTTACTTCTTCATAGGCATCAGGCCCGGGAGGATTTAGATCCACAGGAACTGCGGGCATAAGAACCTCTACCGGTCAGTTCAAGCAGCCTTCTCGAGTCCCAGGGGACTCGACCGAGGGCGCAGTCACAGACTTCCCTCGCAGAGGTAAACAGCTGGAGGCGGAGCCACGGGCGTGGCCAAGTCCGGAGGTCTATCTTTGGGGCCCGTCTTAGACCCAACCTCTCAACTGAGACCTGACCTGCGATTCATTTTGGGGCTTGAACCCCGATAATCAGGAGCCCAGGACGTGGCCAGACTGGGTTTGGGAGCTGACTCCCGCGTGGTTGCTTAGATCTCCCACCCCCACCCGGAGCCTTAGCAGGTGGCGAACATGAGAACAGGTGCGCGCGGGTGGCCCTCAGCCCTGCTTTCCGAGCGGGCCGGCCCCAACTCACCACGGCCCGGTGGCGTCGTCCCCGTCGCGTCTTCGGTGTGTGCCACCGGCCGCTGGGAACGCGGAGTCACCTGGCTGTAGATTATGGTGTCGGTGCTGCTGGGCACCCGCGTCCCCCGCCCTGCGCCCGCAGGGGCGCCACGCTTCTGAACCACAGCGTACGTGTCGGCCATGGTCCGGCTCTGGGATCCGGGTACGGAGATGCTCCTGCTGCGGGCAACAAGCAGAGGAAGTGAAAGCGCAGAGTACAAGGAGAGCAGGGGAGGGAGCAAGCTCAACCCCAGGCTGCGGGCTTCCTTCCTGCCTGCCGGCCCCAGTCCCCTGCGCAGCAAAGGAGGGAAGGGGCGGGCCACCCGAGGGTTGAAAGCGGGGTTCCGCGTCTCTAGTATCCCTACAGTAAAGGGGACAGGGACAGACTGACAAGTAAGACCCATGTAAAGGCAGACTTGGTCGAGTGTGGCTGTAGCCCCAGAACTCCTACTTGAGAGGGGAGAGAGGAACAGGTGAATCCCCAAAAACCTGATGTACAGAGTGAGACTAGACTGTCTCAAAACATATGGGAGGTGAGGACCCATACCCGAGATTGGCCTCTTGATGTAGGAGGGTCTTCTATCTATCTGCTGACTTTCATTGGTTAATAAAGAAACTGCCTTGGCTTTTTGATAGGGCAGGAGTAGACCTAACAGAATGCTGGGAGAAAGAAGAGTCAGTCAGACACCTTGGAGCCAGCTTCCAGATCAGGTAAGCCACCAACCACCTCGTGGTGCTACACAGATAGCAAGATGTGAGAGTTAGCCAATAAGAGGCTAGAACTAACAGGCCAGGCAGTGTTTAAATGAATACAGTTTCCTTGTAATTATTTCCGGGACTAAGGTAGCCGTGTGTGTGGGAGCCGGGCGGGACGAAAAGCAAGCCTGCCAGCAACTCCTTCTACATCCTCTGACCTCTCAGTGCATGTACACACACACACACACACACACACAGAGAGAGAGAGAGAGAGAGAGAGAGAGAGAGAGAGAGAGACACAGACACAGACACAGACACAGACACAGAGAGAGAGAGAGTCTAAAAACATTTGCCTAATTAATTACTGTCTGCAAGAGCAAGGGAAAGGCTAACTCAGAATGCAGGGGTAGGCAGTCCAGATGCAGAGTGGACTGTGTGTGGGTCAGCCAGTACCAGTACCTGAGAACACCACCTGGTGGGCGGGATGTGGCAGACGGCTCTGGGGAGATCCTGAGGGACAAGGAATCCTTTCCAATTGGGGCACAGTTCTACAGGAGAGCAGGCGGAGAGGGTCGTGAGGGCCATGCCCCTTCTGCTGGTCACTGTGGATGCTGAGATAAGCTTATGAGGGGACAGACTGAGGAAGTAGTCCTGAGGAGGCGAGGGCCCTGGCACAGTAAGTCCATTGTTGTTCTCAGGGGTGTCAGAGTGTTGGTGGCTGACAGAGTGGAATTGGGGGCTCCGTACCTCCTTTAGTTTCTGGCGGTGGGGGCTGGTGTTCTGGAGAGTACGGGAGAATAGCTGGGCCACGGTGTGGTACAGGAACCTGTACTGCTCCTGTTGGGGTGAGTGGTCATTGAGAAGGGAAAACACAGAAGCCTCCCCGTGTCCTAGGGAATAGGAAGGCAGGGCAAGCACACACCTCTGTCTGCACGGCTGCAGGACGCTGTTTCCTCATCTCGAGGACCACATCAAAGAGGTTGAAATTGGGTGGGATTGTCTGGGACAGAGAGAGGGAGTGTGAACAGGCCCTGGTAGGCAGGTGTGAGACACGCTGCACACAGAGGAAGATGACATCGTACCTGGGTCAGCAGCAACTGCCTCACGTAATCCACAGCACACAGGACACCTGTTCGTCCGCAGCCAGCGCTGACAAGCAAGGATCGGAGCAGACTCTATCACAGCCGGCCCACAACGACCTTTTCCCCATTTTTCCATTCTTCTCCCAATCCCCTCCACTTCCCATAGGTTTTGCCGTGTTGCCCAGGCTGGCTTGGACCTCTTGATCCTCTGACCTCAACTTCCTAAGTGCTGGGATGGCCAGCCTGTCTATCATACAGATGCCAATACCTCTTCTACATGGAGAATTTGGGGCTGAGCTGAGTCAGATCCCCTGAAATATATATATATGATCCCTAGATTATAATTTCAAATAAAATACTTTGGTTTTTTATATGTACACTAGTGTGTGCCAATTTGGTGTGTGTGTGTGTGTGTGTGTAGAGATCAACATTATATTTGAGACAGGGTCTCCTATTAAATGGGGTGCTCACAAACTGGCTTGATTGGCTGACTAGCAAGCCCCATAGATCCATGTGTCTACCCCTCACCCAGCCATGGGGTCACAGAGACAAGCCACCCATCCTGGTTTTCCCTGGGTGCTAGAGATCTGAGTTCAAGTCCATGTACAGCAAGTACCTTACCCACTGAGCTAATTTTTCAGCACAGGAAAACCATTTTTTATTCACTTGGGCTTATTAAGTATCAGCTATATGCTTACTCCCCAGTAGGCAGTCTGTGCTCGGCAAATGCTATAGATTCCAGCTCATTATATCATGAACATAGGGACGGAAGTTTCTCAAAAAGAGGCAACGGAAAGGGAAAGGCTGCTTTCGAGCCAAAACCTCTCTTCCTTGCTTTTCTGCCTCACCCTCTACCTTCTGCCTCTACAGAGCCCAGAAAGCCTGTTCTCGAAACCTGCAGTGGATACAGAGGGGTCCAGGGCCAGCTCCATGGAGGCGACGGGCCTCCTCCACCATGGTGAGAATGTGGTCGGAATTGCTGGGAACCCCATGGTCTGGCCAGGACATATACTGCAGCTGGTGCACGGAGCGCGATTCCTGGGATGGGGAACAGAGAATAGAAAAGCATACATTTATAGAGCACCTACTATGGCCCTAAGTGTATTCCATTGAAATCCACCAGATAAGGCTGGGGGAAGAGCGCTTGTACAGCATGCACGAGGCTGTGCGCTCCATCCCCAGCTCCGCAAAGGAAAGCCAACCCACGGCATAATCACTGAAGGTGATGAAAACCATCAAGAGAGCCCAGTTTATGGCGGTGGAAACAGCTCCACCCGTGCAAGAGCCCCTTCATCTTTTGCCTGTTCAGTACCTTCTGGAATGTAACCCGGAGGGTCCTGAGAATGATGTCTGCATTCACTGGCATCTCCTTTATCTGAGCATGTGAGAAGAAGAGAGAGAACAAAAGGGAAATACAGACCTGCAGGGGCACATTTCATACTTCTAGAAAGCAAAGCTTTGCGTTTTGATTTTGGTTTTGAGACCGGTCTTGCTGTAGAGCCCTAGGCTAGCCTCAAACATGAGAGCCTCCTGCTTCAGATTCCCATGTGCTGGGATGACATGTGTATACTACATGTGTATACTACATGTGTATATACTTGTGTATACTACCATGTGTATATACATGTGTATACTACCATGTGTATACTACATGTGTATACGTGCTGGGATGACATGGGTATACTACATGCCTGATGCAAGCAAAGCATTCTTGAGTAAAAATCAAATACTAAAACATTTTTAAAAAGTCTCTGGCCTGCAGTGCTGTTCTTACATTTCTGGGACCACAGACTTATTTCCCATGTTGCTGAGAGACGAGAGAGCTTTCTGAGCATGGCTTCCAATTCAGACTCTGTTGGGCTAGCTTACGTAGTGTGTCCTTGTTAGAATTCCCAATCCTCAGAGGACTTATATTTTCTCTTTGCTTCCTTGTCCATTCTCATTGTGTATTTCTTTTTTGTTGTTGTTTAGCTTTATTATTATTATTATTATTAAAAATTTCCACCTCCTCCCCTCCTCCTATTTCCCTCCCCCTTCCCCCACTCTCCCTCCCTCTCCAGTCCAAAGAGCAGTCAGGGTTCCCTGCCCTGTGGGAAGTCCAAGGTCCTCCCCCCTCCATCCAGATACAGGAAGGTGAGGATCCAAACAGATTAGGTTCCCACACAGCCAGTAGAATCAAAACCCAGTGCCATTGTCCTTGGCTTCTCAGTCAGCCCTCATTGTCTGCCACGTATTTCTTTTAATTTCAAAAGAATATCTTTAAATGGTTTCACAGTCAGCTGGGCACTGGTGGTGCATGCCTTTAATCCCAGCACTTGGGAGGAAGAGGCAGAAGGATCTCTGTGAATCTGAGGTCAGCCTGGTCTACAGAGAGTTTCAGGACAGCCAAGGCTACATAGAGAAACCCTCTCATCAAACAAACAAACAAACAAAAAGTGGTTTCACAGCCAATGATGTTATTTCCTTTAGGTAAGTATTATGTTATTATAAATTCAGCCATATGTTTTTTTAATTCAAATAAATTTCTATACTGATAATATTTATAAATTTTCCTTTGGTCTAAACTTCTCCCAAAGTTTTCAAGGAAACTTTTCTCAGAACAGGAAAAGAGGAATGACTATACAAACAAAATTAACCCCTGTCCAGTGAACACGAGAGGTCCATTGTTCTGAAATACATTGGTCTCATTGTATCTGTATGCAGTTCTCTGCACATGGTAAAGAAATACGAATTGCAGAAACCTGAACAGGCACATTTTGGAGGCCAGCCTGGTCTACAAGAGCTAGTTCCAGGACAGGCTCCAAAGCTACAGAGAAACCCTGTCTCGAAAAACCAAAAAAAAAAAAAAAAAAAAAAAAAAAAAAAAAAAAAAAAAAAAAAAAAAAAAAAAAAAAAAAAAAAAAAAAAAAAAAAAAACCAATAAAATAATAATAAAGTAAAAACTTTAAATTGTGTTCTGATGGTTTGTATGACGAGCCCAGAGTGTTCTGAGTCTTCCGTGGTGTCAGGGAGCTGTGAGAAAACGGCTCATCCTTGCACATCCGGTTCAAGTTTTCTCCTTCTCTATATCTTCCTGGAGATCTCCCCACTACCCAAGGCCTGCAGAGCCCACCTTCTTCCCACCCCTGTCCCGGCTTACCAGGGTGATACAGAAAGGCCCTGTCTGCAGTGGCCCCTGCTCCTGGGCCCAGTAACGTTCACACTTCCTCTGCAGAGGGAGGGAGGAAAGGCAAGAGTAAGTGGGGAGGTCACTTTCAGAGTGACAAGACACCCAAGTGAGACACGTGGAAGGGCCAGCAGCTGTGGCTGTGACAGAGGCCAGCTGTAGAGTATGGCATTAAACACATGCATAATCCGCACACTCCACAGGGGCAAGATTAGTTATGTATTTATGTATTTATTTATTTTGGTTTTTTGAGACAGGGTTTCTCTGTGTAGCTCTGGGTATCCTGGAACTCGCTCTGTAGACCAGGCTGGCCTCGAACTCACAGAGATCTACCTGACTCTGAGGGGCAATGTTTTGATTATTCTGGGGGAAGGCAGTTCAGGGTATCCTCCTGCTGCCTGGAGCTGGAACTAAGTACATGAACCAATGCTTCCCATCAAAGACACATGCACTGCAAGGGTGTAGGCACTAAGTGGACTAACTGGCCTACTGCCTTGACATGTAGGAACTAAGGAGCCTCACTATTCCAACATGCTACAGAAATGCAGATCGCGGCTCAGAGAGGGCAACACTGAATTTTCAGAGACCCTTTCTCAAAGTAAGGTGGAGAGCAATAGAGAAATATACCTGCAGTTACCCCCTGGCTTCCACACACATGCTCACACATATGTACACATACCCTCCCACTCACACACATGCACACATACCACACAGCACACCCATACAAGCACACAGAGAAAGGACAAATTAGAGGACTCACTTCCACACTGGAAGCTTACAGGACTATGAGTTTAGTCTAGGAATAGAATGCTTCCCTACCAAGAAAAAGGCTCTGGGTTTTGATGCCCAGCACTGAAAAAAAAATCTCAAAATTTGCTACTACAATACAGTAATCACAACCTTGTCTTGCTAATGCAAAGACAGATTTATAGATCAATGGAAAAATTTGAGAGCTCAGAAATAAGCCTTTACAATTACTTTTTTCAATAAAGATGCCATGGGATTAATGGAGAAGGCCCAGTGGGTGACCAATTAAATGGAGAAGGCGTGGTCTTCACCAAAGGTATGGGATCAATTGAATACATACAAAAGAGCTTTGGATTCCTTTTTCATCCTGTATACATAAAAGTTAATTCAAAAGAATAAGAAATGTAAGATATAAAGTTGTGAAAAACTTAGAAAGCACAGAAGTAGATCTTTATTTTTTAGACAGTGACTTCCTAGATGTAAATGCAAAAATATACCAGCAGAATGATAGGTTAGGGGCTGGAGAGATGGCACAGTGGTTAAGAGTACTGCCTGCTCTTCCAAAGGTCCAGAGTTCAATTCCCAGCAACCGCATGGTGGCTCACAGCCATCTGTAATGAGATCTGGTGCCCTCTTCTGGCCTGCAGGCACACATGCAGGAAGAATACCGAGAATACTGTATACATAATAATAAATAAATACAGAATGATAGGTTAGAACACAACGATCAAAGCATATGTGTTTG